ATTAATTTGAAGTGAGCATTTGTAAAACGGAGTATCTTTCGTCTTTACGGAAAGGATAAATGAAATGTGCCTATGAGATATTTATATAAAACAGAGGGTGCTGGCATTTTTATTCAGAAAAGAAGATTTTTTTAAAAGAAAAGCAACCAATAAAAATAATTTTAAAAAATCTATACGTCGTGCATATGTGCTACGAAAAGTAAGTCGTTTTTTATACTGAAATGGCCAATTCCACTGAAATTCGACGCACCTAAAAAAAAACTAATTTACTAATTTTTTGGTGATTTTTATTTTATTTTTTTTTATAGATTTGAAGTCATAACGTTAAACCGAATTTAACGTAGGCGAAGCTGCGGGTAAAAACTAGTAAAATAATATCTGTACGTGCGTGAGTTATTGAAAATAGTATGTGAGATGCAAAAGAATGAAATTTTATAGCAACATTTTTTATAGTTTTAAAAGTCCAATTATAATCGATTTGTTTTCGGGCAACCTTCATAAAAAAACTGGACAGTAGCTATTCGGTCATCAAATATTTTATAAGAAATTAAAAATTTCGCATTGTCATGCGTTATCAGTCTTTAGTGAGTGTAATTCTATTTTATTTTATCTATCTAAAAATCCCCCAATTTTAGTCCATTCAATACAACTCAATTGTTGGTACGCCCGGTCGTATGAGCAACATTAAGCGCAAGTCTCACATACAACCCTACTCGCTCTGATGCTAAGTATGCGTAACATTTCTAATTTATTATTGTTGTAATTGTGTAAATTATTTGTCAGTCAAGTGTATGAATGTATTTAAAAACAAATTTACTCGCCTGTATGTATGTATGTAAGTATAAGTATAGTGTGACGATAACAGTAAAGTACAGGTAACTAGATACCTAAGTATCAGCAAGCTGATGCCCACTGCATTCACTTTGATTAACAGTCAACTACTTGTGTGCAAATTCATGAACATACACGTATGTACGTACATACTACATTACGAACTTAAGTACCTTTGAGCTTACGTGACTACATTTCGCTCTTGTGACACCGCACATGCGGCAGGTGCACTTACTTAAATGGACGTGAGGGCAATGGATGTGTTGCAACTGAAATAAAGTGACGAGAATAGTAGTTTAGTAGATAACATAAAAACTTACTTAGACAATTTAAAGATGGAGGAAAAAAGGTATTGTGGTAGCATATAAATTGGCAAGATATACACAGGGACTAAAACGCATTTGCTGATTCTAATTACATAGATTTCCAAAGAACTTTTTCATAAGCTTGCAAGAAAGGCATTGAAATTTATAATGATATTTTCATCGCTTAGTCATAATTTTTATATTTTGTATTGGCTATCACTTATGAAGTATTGTTGATTTTTGTGCAATTTTTCGGATGCTGAAATTCCTTAATTCCTTAGAATGAACATGCAATTGTGGTCCAGCACCCTCGCGTTCTCTGCCTTAATTACTGATAGTATTTTGGGCTCGCATTTCTACTTGCCAGCATTTTAAGCTTTTCCCATTCACATCATTCTGTCCCTCTTTTTTTCCTCTCAAAAATACGTCTCTCCATTCTTTTCTTCTACCGATATCGCTCAATACTAGCTCACGCCACTATTGGCTACCGAGTGGCTTAGTATGCGGCGCCTTCTCCTTTACAGCGACACCGCACTCTTCGTTATAAAAGTTGTTCTTCGGAAGCAGCGCGAAGAGATTGAGGAGTCCCACTGCTAACTTATTTTCGTTGGATTTGCTTGTTCGCCACATTAAAGTGTATCACCTTCCTTCTTGAGGTATTTGCCGAAGAAAAGGCG